TTTTAAGTTCATTTTTATATTATTTCTTGTCCTGCATCAACATCCAAAGTAAGAAGGAATCCATTTTTGTTTTATTATGAACCACATTTATCTGGTACCTGAAATGAATATGCACGGATACATTGCATCCATTGACTGCAAATCCAATTCAAAGAAACTAAGCTAATGTAACTGAACAAGTACAAGAGAATAGGAACAAGGCTGTAAGATACAGGTTCTCAAATATCTTTCTGCATTTTTTTCTAAGAATCAGGGCTTTTTCAACTAAAGAAAAAAAAAGTACTTATCATTCCATCTGCGGGGTGGCCCCTAAAATCTTCCCAGTGTACTTAAGACCCTGAGCTGCGTCCAGAACTTCAAAGAGAGCAGGTCTACAAGAGACGTGTGCAACTTCTTACTGAATACATGTGTTTGTGAGCGTGTGTGTATTAGTGTAAACTGAGACAGAAAGAGCTTCTGGCAGCAGCAGTGGGGGAGGAGTCAGTCTCGGTGTCAGACTGCTTTATTGCCCAGAGAAATCTTCGGTCACCCCTCAGAGAAGATGAGCTACCTCGGAGGAAAACTTAGGACTGTCAATGAGACTGGATAATGCAGACTTCCGAAGAAGACAAGAGAAAAAATAAACTTCACATTCTCAAATTGTCCGAAATGGAACACGGATGTTTTCGATCTTCACTGCAATTTAATTTTAGCAAATGCACCAGTCAAAGAGAGTTAAGAAGTGGCTGCAGTGGTGCAACCCAAGACTGTTTTCACAGAAATGTATGGATCCATGTTTATTTAAAGGCTTGGCGGTAGCGTCTGCCTAAAGCATACCAACAAAGCTATGTTCATGAGTAAAGTTGCTAAACAACCAAAGACTGGATGGACGATAAAGATACAAGTATTATACTACTAGATTATAAGCATGATGAAAGTGACAAGAATTGTCAACCCAATGTTTCCAAACTTTGTAATAACAAAAAAATATTTAAGGCAAACAATGCACTTCATGTAAAATTGGAAACGTTTTTAGTTCTTAAGTAGAGTTGCAATTAGGGATAAGCTGATCAAAATATAAATCAACTACGACTAATTACTTCTTTATTATTCATCTTAATTCAGCGGTTGGACAAAACATACATTTAAAGATTTGCCCACGAAATGGGTAAAAAGTTACCAACTTATTTACGCATTTATACACGATTAATCTAAAAAAGGTTGATTTATAGTTAGTTGCAGCCCTACTCTAAAGACACTATCCTGTCATTGGTCTGACAACTAGTCCAACTCATTTGTATTCTACTTTCTACTGAGAGGCACATTAAATCGTCTTCCTTGTGTTAAATATAAAAATATCTCATGTGACTGCATGGCCAACTTTAAAAACAGTATAAGCCGGTTTCTCTCTTCAAAGTCACTATCCATATGACGTCCATGTAAAATCTGTGTAGGTCAAATTGATGTCAAAAGGTTGCGTTGAAGTTTTAATTGGACAGTGGAGAGAATGCATATGTGACGCTCTTTTACTAATTATTATGAAAACGTAATATTACTATGAAAACCGACTCATCTGTCAACACAGCAACTATATAAAAAGTAAGCAAATGTATGTGGGTTAAAAGGGTTTAGAGAACAGTTCTTCCAAAAATGCACCTGTTACATGGCCAGGGGGTAGCTCGCTTCTGGACAGTAATAGTTGATATGATAACTACAACAAATAATGACCACTGGAAAATGTCCCATAATGTATAGGGCCAGTGATGTTCAAGATTATATCAAATCTAACAAATGTATTCTGCATTTCCATATAGCACTCTTTTTGGGATATGTGTGCTAAACACATTCTCCCCAGATATACGTTTCATCCAATGTGGGGTTGTCCAGTATATTTTTCTGGATACATTTTAATCCTGGCCATTCAAGCATTTTGTTGAATGAAAGAAGGGTTGAGCATTCACTGGCAGACTGACCTAGTGGAGAGAGATTATCTTTCGGTCAGACAACCCAGGTTCAAGTGCCTGCTCAGTCTCTGCATTGCTGAAGAGGCAATGAGCACGAGTCAAATCCAACTCCAGGGATACAGATGCAGCTTTTCCTTTGTGATGGTGAGCAAAAAGCTAAATATTGTTTTCTAAAAAGGATCACATGACTTTTTGATTTAATCATGAATGGCTAATCAAATGTAAAGGCGCAATGAGACTAATAAAGACAGCATCAGACCAAGAATGTGTCAAAAGGTAAAGAGAAAAACAACCTACAAATGAACTGTCAACACTTTATTAAACTATATCTCAGATGATATGATGGGTGAGCACGATTATGTGTTATCCAACCCTACAAGAGTGAAAAGTTGGGACACTACTACTGTTGAGGAATTCAGTGATGAAGAGGTAGTGAGTTTGCACTTTTAAAATTAATAGCATTTTCTGAATCTGCTGTTAATGTATTCAAACCATCCTGTTGGGACTTTAGTACTGTAGTTGCCATGTGACATTAGCACAGCACAACTGAAGAGGCGAATTGGTTGACTTTACTATGGCACTTTTCCTAAGGAGGATGCATCCTGACCAGAAAGCATCAACGCGATAAAAGGGTGCAGGTTTAATACATGTATATCTTGTTGCCGTAGCACACCCTCCTTGTCAGTCAGTTAAATGTCTAAAAGCATGTCTTACCTGGGCCATCTGATACTGGGAGAGGTGAATTAAGCTTGGGTCTCTTTGCAGTGGGGGGTCCGACATCCAGCAGATTGTCAGCCATCCTGGTCGGGATATTTTGTGAATGGTTTATGTTGCAGAAAAATAACAACAGGACGAGTCCACGTTGTCCACTTCTGGCTTGTAAAAAATGTAACTTTTCCTATCGTTTCGCGTAAAGGAGCAATGTAACTGTTTTTTTTTTCTTGACTGGCAGACTGGCTAAATGCTGCCTGGAGAGAAGGGTTTCAAAAGAAAGGCAACAGCGCCACGCTTCGCCGCCGAAGATCACCCCATGATAATCCAACACCCAACACCCACATAATTATCCTCAATAATAACGTCCAAAAATTATTTCCGTTCGAGAAAAATAAATAAAAATCAATCATAAAATATTACACAAGGCGTAAGCAAATCCCTTTCTCCGCAGATCGCCGGTTTCACGTCTGTACAGAATCATCTTTTTCGCAGTCGAAACGAGCAGCCATAAAATCAATTTTGGGCTTAAATAAAAAGAGCAAAATTCAAAAAATATTTTCTATGAAGTGGATTATTTTTGTGGTCGCTGTCTCCCGGTAAATTCAGCGTCTCGGGACGGAGATACGGCGAGAAACGGCGCTCTCCAAAAGGGAAATCAAATATACAGTGGGCTTTCGAGACGGTAAAAACCCGTGTAATCCTCACATGTTTGCATTATTTCTCATCGGAAGGACTAACACTTCGATCTTCTGCACGAAAAAACCCGTTTGAGCCCCGTCTGAGTAGCTCCGATCGGTTTTTAAAATTAATGCTCCCCCCGAAATCCCGATTCTGAGCCGCGTCAAGATGGCGGCTGTTGATTCCTCCGATACAAAAAAAAAACTTTTTTTCTTCCCAGCTAGACTGTGGGGGGAGGAGGGAGAGGTGTCGCGCTATGACGCCCTGACGTAAACCTGTGTCCCACCGTACGTCATGTGGACGTACGCTAAACTGCCCCTAGGGGTGCAATAAACCAACAAATACACTCGTACTATGTTGTTACTTTGCTTTAACTTTACAAACACACAGAGGTGGGATGTTACTAAGTACATTTACTCAAATACTCTTCAATTTTGAGATAATTGTACTTTACTTGAGTGTTTCCATTTTATGCTACTTTGTACTTCTACTCCACTACAATTCACAGGTAAATGGTGTACTTTTAATCCACTACATTTATTTTGTATCTTTAGTTACTTTGTAGATTTGGATAAATAATGTGAAATATAATCAACACTTAAATAGGACCTAAGCAACAAATGGAGTAAATCCACAAGTATAGAAAAGAGCTGCGGTATACAAAGTATTTAAAACTAGCTGCATGTGTTCCAGCTTTGATAAACACTTTAATAATGCATCAATAATTATAATCAAACATATAATATATATGATTCTGAAATGGACCAATTTGCATAATAAGTACTTTTACTTCTAATTTGATGCTAATGCTTTTGTACTTTAACTTGGGTTACCTTTGAATGCAGACATTTGACTTGTAAGAGAGTATTCCTACACTCTCGTTTTACTCAAGTACAAGATCTGAGTACTTCTCACCCCTCTGCAAACACACAACAGTCAATACTCCAATATATAAAATACAGCTCGTATTATCAGTGGTGGAGGAAAGTAACAACATGGTGAGGAGAATGGTATACTTTTACTTCAAGTTTATCCGACAGCTATCTATATTTTACAATGTTCTTTCATGCAAAGCTTGTAAAATGTGAATCACGGCCACGCATTATACCTTGAAATAAACAAATGTGTTGATATTGTCTCCTTGTTGTACAAATGTACAATAATACACACCATTAAAATGTTGCGTACAAGAAAATACGTCATTGCTAAAACATCCAATAATGTAAGATTCTGTGAAGTGGCTGTTATGCATAATGAGCACCTTTACCTACTTAACATTTTCCTAATGATACTTTTGTACTTAACTTTAGTATATTTTTTAATGCACACTTTGTTAAACCGTTCGTCTCCTTATGTAAACCATTTGATTAAGTCTTCTGAAATGTCTTATTAAAGTATAACATTAAAGCATTATATTACAACCACTTTCTATTCAGATCTACCATATTCACATATATAAAACACTTCCACTTGAAGTCAATGTGTTGAATGTAAAAGCTAAATAGTACCTAACTAATATAAGCTAAATGTAAGCCTACCTACATCATTTAAAGTAATAGTATTTATAATGCAACATAACTTACCCTTCTATTTTGCATAAGATTGCCATTACTCATTCAGTTACTTGTAAGCAGAAATTAATATTGACACTAGTTTGAGTTAGACTGAATTTTAAACTACTTTATTTTATGTTGGGTAATTGAATCAATGGCAATGTTAAATATTGTATAACAGCGCCTAATGTTTTGTTTGTGAAATCTCAATCAACAAAAGCAACAAGGCAATGCAGAGTATAGTGTAAAATACATACAGTATAACACAGCATCAAATACTAAAGTAAAGTACAAAATACAGAATCAGAAGTAGCGACAGGGTACACTGTAAATTCAACCAGACAAAATGTACCATCATTTTATTTTATTCAATTGTGACCTTCACTTGCATTTACCCATTAACGTGCTATGTACACACAAATTTCTAAATAAAGCAACAATGCCTTAAAACTTGGCTGTAGCAGGCTACTGTAATACTGCCTAAGTGCAGACATCTAGCAGTGTCTCACCCATTTTATTAGCCCACTTTTTATTTTTAGAAAAAGAAATAAAGGATGTCTGTATGACTGAAGCCTTATTGTCTTGCATGTCATACTTTTTGAGATGATACAAATGGAGCATTGCTTACAAAAATACACAACCACACAGTTTTACAAACACAGTTTTGTACGGACATGCAGGCAAACTGAACACACAAGTGTTATTCCAACATAGTCAAATTACCCAGTTCTTTAGACTATTTAATACTCTAGTACATGCGTCTATATAAATAATAGAAAATGCTCAGAAACTATACAATATAAAGCCATACTATACATAAAAAGTGAGCTCCTTTGCAAATGTCTCTTAACAGTGAATATATAAATGTTATTGAACAAGCACAAGATAACCTGCAAATTAAGCGGAAAATAAGATACAAAAAACCTCTAAGTGATGGCAATAACACTCTTTGGCATCAACATTTTCACAGTGTGCCATTCTGCTGGGTCAGAATGTCACTTACATCTCGATAAATCAACCCAAAGCAACATTTAGGATCATGTTGGTAGAAAAAGAAAAAGGGCAGAAAATAGAAAACACCGCTATGTAATTATTCTTGTTTATCCCAAATTCAATACTAATAGAAAAAAATGTTAAAATAACCAAGGAAGGAAAAAAACAAATGTTGCTAATACGCTTTACTTGACACTGAAGTATCTTGATCTAGATTAAACACATAAATAATAACAAATATTATTCGAAAACTACCTTTATTTTAGGCTGGTAAAAGGGTTGTGTGCCCATAAGTGTAACTTACAAAACATATTTTAAATTAAAGGTGTTTATAGCACAAAAGTTAACATTATCCTGCAAAGCTTAAGATAAATATTTAGTGTCTTAAGAAATGAAAGCAACACAGAGCAGACAGTGAAAAAAAGTAGAAAGTTAAAAGGCACGAACAAAACAACCAATTATTAACTTATTAGGCATTTGTTAAAATAACTTTGATGATAAAAGGCAAATGTGTCCCTTGTGTTGTATGCATTATTACTTTAAAATACTGATTGGTTTAAGTGCTGTTAAAGATATTGAAATATCAAAAGTCAAAAGACACTGAAGTGGACGTCATGGTAAAACGCGTTTGCCTCTGAGCACACAATCCTTTTTGCTAAGAAAACAATAAAAGAGAGAACATGTAACAGCAACCGAGATGTACAGTTTAATCAGTTTGATTTCCTTCATCATCTGACATAATAGAAGTCTATAAGGAATAAAAACACAAAACGAAATACATTTGTTGCACTGCTTTTACAGTTAGTGCCGTTTTTACATTAAGTTTCATGCCATTGAAAGTATGAAGCAGCTAATGCATCCAACTGTTTCCATCAAATAGTATATTTCAAATAATACAATTAAAGACCGGAGCTTCACATAGAAAGTTCAAGTTTTGTGTAACAATAAATACAATAGTGCACATTTAGTTTAGATTAGTGACATTCCACTTTGATTATCAATGTCTAAAAAGCCATATCACCTAAACACACAGTGTAATCCATAGCAAAACCTAGGCAGTTGTTTTCTGTAATTGATCTACGGTCAAAGTAATCTACAGGTACAACAGTGCCTTGTAGGATCCATCTAAATACTCATCAACATCTAACACAGCTTGGGTACCCATAGGAGCCCAAATCATGGGGGAGGGCACAGAACTACAGATCTAACCTTGTCTACAATGCTGCTATCGTTGCAAGCATGCTGATTAAATGTGGCTGGGACAGGACACAGTACTGAGGTAAGACAACGATCTTAACAGGGGCCAGAGAAAAAGCTGACATAAGATTTTGTTTTGCCCCCGACTGCGTTCCTGAAATGTTTGTCCTCATCCTACAAGTCTTTGATTAACTCATAGGCAACTCGCTTTATTAAACTGAGCATGATATTCTTCCTACACAGAGCCATAAAAACGAACACACAAACACACTCACGGTTTGCATGCAAATACGACGCACAGCTCAGCCTTGTTTGCAGTTAGCCTGTATTGATTCATTTCTGCTGTGCTTCTCATGAAGAGTTTTCTGGTACTCTTGAAGAACAAGGAAATAGACTCTGTTGCATTGTAGTTCAGATTTTACTATAACATATATTCCCTTTAATTAACACACATTGTGATTATCTTCATGTTGTAACACTTTCCATATGTATAGTAAGCTCTTCTTTAATAAAAGGCATAATAGCAAAGCATAGTTTACAAAGTTGTAACAAAATGTAAGCTGGTTTTCCCAAAAAGTTTGCTTATTTACAGTTTTCCCTTTTTATGATATCCTTCTATACTCAAAAAGGCTTAGTCTACACATAATTCTAGGCACTTAAAAGACACAAAAATAAATGAAGATTAAAGGTATACAGATAATCAAGTAATGGGAGACAAATGAGATCTATAGCAGGCAAGAGAAGGTCTGAGAGAGACATCCCATCATACTTCCTCTGTGTGTTCCTGCCTGACAGTCGCTTTGAGGTCCAGGCAGCACCTTCCACTGATAATATCAGCCAATCAGATTTACACTAAAAACAACCTGCTCTCTGCCTTCTGCAGAGAAGAGGCCTGCAGGTCTTTCTCTGATTCTAGGACCAGATATATTGTAATTCTACAAATGCCAAATGGCAGGAACAAGAGCTTAAAGGGTAGACAGTTTACGATAAAAGCGCAATAATATGACATTCTTAGAGTCGTGTTAATTCTCCAACATGACTGTCAGGCGCTTCGTCGCATTTGTCCTTCTTGATGTATTTTTGGGACGTTATGGGCGTATTTTGCTGGGCCGATGATGAGATGAGAAGCTGTTGGTTATTTGCTGAAGAAGTTGGTCCGTCTAGGTGAGATGAAGGTCTTCTAGCATTGGAGGTTTCGGTAGAGGAACGCCTGACGGCCTCTTTCCCGAGGCTTAGCCCTTTGATGGTTGAGGAACCAGCACTGTGTACCGTAGTATGTGTGCTGCTTGCAGTTAGGCTGGTTGCTGGAACCATGCTGGCGATTTCCTCAGTGGGTGAGCGTCCAATGCTACCATCCACCTGTGCCCGAATCTCTGGTGACACTGAGAGCTGGTACTGAGGCACAGGGCCACTATCACTGCTCTTCGGGTAAAGGAAGGTCTTCATCTGACCTTTGCCTTTGACGTTAACTGTGCCCCGATAATCAAACTCATAATCCATAGCACTAAGCACACAATAGCTCTCCTCACTCACCTGCACACGGCACTCCACCCCTGTTGTATCCATGCGACTGGCGATGTTAACCGTGTCGCCCCAGATATCGTAGAGAAGCTTAGTAGTGCCAATCACTCCCGCTGTCAGAGGCCCGTGATTGAATCCAATGCGAAGCTTGAAGCCAAAACCCAGCATGTTCTTGTTGAAGTCGTCCACCACACGCATCATTTCCAGGGCGAATTCGAAAAGAGCGCGAAGATGTGCGTGAGGATGTGCCGCGTCAGCACACTGCTGCGCATTGAGTCCTGCTGCTGCCATGTACGTGGCACCGATAGTCTTGATCTTTTCCATATTCGAGAACGTAGGCTTTCGTAGCAGCTCGTCAAAGTCTCCAATTAGCTCGTTGAGGACACGATAGCACTCCTTGCCTCCCTCGTAGCTTTCCTCGTAAAACTCACTGAAGTTAACAATACTGGCAAATATGACACCCACATTGTCGTGGTTCTTGGAGTAGCTCTGGGTGACCTTTAGCTGTTCGGCCACATGGATGGGGATGATGTTGCGTAGCAGCCAGTCGGCCTGGTCTCTCATGTTCTGGATCTTGATGCGGTGTTGATCAGCCTCAACGTTGCCATGGTAATGCAGGCGGTGACTAACTTCAAATTCACGGTTAAGGAACAAGATAAGGAGAAGGACCAGGAAAAAGGCAACGCAGGCCTCAGGGCCCAGCAGGTCCTTTGGGGTTGGGTCTGGAGGACTTTCAGACATGAAGATGGAGCTGTTACTGAAGCTGGTATTGCTTTTAACATCCAACCTGGTGGAGAGACAGAGTGAAATAGAGAGTGAGAGAGAGAAGCACAGAGGGAAATGCAGGGAAATTAAAATCATGAGGTTAAAACAAATCTTTGTCTTATTTGCAGCATCTATTTCAAGTCCACAACTACAAAGGCTTTTGGCATACGTTTCTTGCACCCTTCTACCTTTTTAACACTTAATCATGCACACACAAGCCTGATTTTCAGCAAGTGTCTACAGAAAACAATAAAACTGACTATGACATCAACAATGCTAACAATAATAAGTGTACTTACCACAAAAACAGACTCTTAGCAATGCTTGAAGAGATAAAACAAACAAAAAGCTCTAACTAATGCTTTAAAACAGTGGTTCCCAAAGTGTGGGGCGTGCCCCCCCCCCTGGGGGGCACAGAGGCATGACAGGGGGTGCGCGAGAGACCAAGAGGAAAAATGGCTATTATAAAAAATAAAAAAATAAAAATATCATAATTTGTAAAATTATTGATTCGGAAATAATATGATACAGTACTATTACGTCTGGGTCTCTGTGTTTCATTAAAGCTCTGCTCTGTGTGTGTGTGTGGAATGAGCCATTTTGTGTGCGTGCACGAGCGAGAGAGAGAGAGCGCACCAGTACCGGAGATCGTAGTTATTAGCTTCTGGTGCTAGCAAGCTACGCTAACGGATATAAAGAGTTTTTTCAACAACAAAGTGGAGGAGAGTCCTCTCCTGTCAGACTGAGAGGCTCAGTGAACTAAAAGGACTCTGAGTGCTTAGATAGTTGACTTTAGTCTAAGTTATCTCAGTGGATCTCAAACGTTTTGGTCACCATTAATGTAAACAATTATTTCCGAGGCACACGTTTATATGATCATTATAGTTATAAAAAAATAAGAGAATAAATGAAAAACAGGTATGAAATTTATTTAGGAAGGTCCCCCTCGAACGGGGGTCTGGGGGATACACCTTCCAGTGTGTGGTGGATATTTTTATCGGAAATGGACGAATGTGGATATACGGGCTCGGAAAGTAAAAATGCGTTGTTGGGGGTGCGTTTATGTGTAATACTGTCAATGTTACTTCCCGAGCTCCGTATATCCACATTCGTCCCCATTTCACGATAAAAATATCCACCACACACCCTGGAGTGTATCCCCCAGACCCCCCGTTCGAAGGGGACCTTCTAAATAAAAAATTTATAACTTCAATTTTCGTAGTTAGACCACGGTGAAACCTCTCGTTTTTTTTTCTCTAGATACCTATGTAGAGAGTTGTGTATTTTTTGGTTACTTGTCTTGACATTTGTCTAAATGAAGAAAGAGATACCTATAAAAATGTTAGTGAATACAATTATCATAAAGTATGGACAAANACTGCCCCTGTGTTTCTTGTATTCGTGGGAGCATTGCTGTATGATTGCTTGAGCGCAGGTAATGTTTCCCCATTGTTGTTTGGTGGTGCGCAACTAAATAATAATGATTAATCTAAACTATTTCTGTGTTTGTGTTTCATTGATTCCTCTCTGTTTCATTATTTCCTGTTGTGAGTGCTGCATTGCCACAACAAGCTGCTGTCATGTTGTACAGTATATCTAGTATACTGTTCAGGGTTTCACTGAAATGCATATTCCTCCTGACAACAGTGCTCAATTAAATGGTGTCTCTTGGACAATCCATGACATGATATATGTACGTGCTTTAAGCTAAATTACATGAATAAATGAAGCAAACTGTCTTTAAAACGTTAAAGTATTAAAATAAATGGATATTCTAATTGATTTATGTAAGACACAAAGGCATTAAGACAAGATATAAAAGTGTAACAAGTTGAAGTTATAAGCAAGATGAACATCTGGACAAAACATAAGTTGTTACGTTTCGGTGGGTTAACATATGGTAGCTTCTATGTGTCATAAGAAATATGAGACTAAATGAGACGACTAAACGTTGTCATGTCAACACCAGTCAGCAGTTAGCTTAGCCGTAGGGACATGTAGTCATGTGACCCTGCTGTAGTTCCTTTATAGACAAACATTAGCTTTCCTTAAGAAAGAATAAAGTGGTTTTAATATGTGGAGATTATCCTGCTGAACTAAACATGTAAGTATCATAAAAGTGTGTTTGCCACAGAGATTATTTTCAGCAATATACCAAAAGTGATCACTGTATTGTTAGGTGAAAACTTCTGATGAAACTCTGAATCATGTACATGTGTGAGCATGTCTGACGCACCAGTGTGTCTCCTTAGAGCCCCCACCCCCCACAGCATAAACCAGCGCTGCCTCCAAATAGAGTTGTAGAAACACGAGAATCCAGGGCTTAAAGAACAAAAGAAGAGGCCAAGTTCGAGAGAGTCAGCGAGATTAGAGCCGTCAATCCCGGCATCGAGGCCTCCTTATGGGATCAACCATAAAGTTGTAATCGAGGCGAAATAACTTTTTCTAGTCTACTGCCACACTCCGCCGCCCTACACTCTCCCCCCCCATCAGCAGCATCAGGCCTGGGTTGAGATTTAGGCAGGGTGAGCGGGTGGGTAAGTGCGGCATTGGAGCACTTTCCCTGAACTCTTCCCGGCTTTGTTTTTTCTCCTTTCATCTGGGGTCACTGTCAGTGGAGGTTTATCTTGTTAAAAGCCCTGAGATGAAACGGGACTATTGCTGCTGAACACTAAAGGCCTGGCACACACCTCACAGTTTCTCTTTGTGCTAAATATGACTCATTTAGTCTGGAGGGGGGGAGTAAGCTGACCACATATACCTGATTAATTAATTTGTGGTTGGAAAAATCCACAACACGTGAAATTGCAAGGAATAAAATGGATTGTGCAAAGAGTTAAATAAGAAACGCTGCCATACAAAGGGAAACTATTATGATTGTGCAGCTTGCGATATACTGTAGAGCAGCAAGTCACACTGGGAGGAAATGTGTCCGCCGTGCCTTCCTGAACACAGAGGCATACCTCCAGACATGTTGTATCAGGCAGATAAAGACACTGTCAGGAAACAAAGACGCTGACTAAACAGACAAAAGACACATTTGTTGGCTTCTGATTGCCACCAAACATCTGACAGTTATTAAAATGACTTGCTTTCATGAAAAGCTTGTGACTTCTCCCTGCAGTGTTATTTGGTTAATGCCAATCTCCTCGCACCATTGTTGTTACGCTGGTCTTCTGAGAGCCGATCCATCCCGGCTGCACAGATAGAGCAGCTGAGCAGTGGTAGACACAATGTGAGAGCAGAGGACTGGAACCAGGCTGTATCTGCTACTCAGGTAGAGGACTCTGATGGCTCTCTCAGCCTCCATTGCTCTGCTCTATTGTAGTTGTCATTCTCTTCTGCTTTTACACTTTTCAACCAATTATTAGCTTCCCAATAGAATGAGAAATGTGTGTCAGCGGGCAGACAATGAAAAGGCAGCTGTGAAGAAAACTGATTTCTACAGACATTATGCAGACACGTCCTCTTTAATCTGGCTGGAGCACAATGCTAAACTGCTCGATCCCCTGAAAGCAAAGCTGCAACAGTGTGCTGATATAAATCAGTGGTAAAAAATGACCATTAATGTTGTGACATTTTCAGCTCTTTGTTTAACAAAGGATTGGTTCGCAATTTCATACAACATGTTCAGTAAATGTTTATTGGCCAAACTTTGAAACTCAGTGCTTCACAGACTTTTTTTCTATTTCTTTCACACCAGTAATAGGGTCAAACGATTCTGTTTCTTTAAATAGAAGTATCACTGGCTGTTCCATTGCTCTCTGTGTGAGTTGCTGTTTTCAGGGAATGGAGAAGTGGAAAGCTCTCTCATGAGCGGGCGGCCGACCTTGGCTGACCCTGTTTCTGTTTATCTTTTTACATAAGACAAGATAAGACTTGTGCCAGTTACAAAATATACAATAAACACTGCAGCATAATAATAATAGTAACAATTATAATAATACAACTTTACACTAACAGTGCAGTTAAAAAAGAACTACAAGAAACATAGAAGGTAAAATAATGAATGTAAACTGTACAGTGAGGATTGTACAAGAGTGCTTTAGACCAGTGGTTCCCAAAGTGTGGGAGGCGCAGACAGGGGGGGGCGCGAGAGACCAGGAGGAAAAATGGTTATTAAAAAAGAAATAGATTACAAAAAAAAAAAAAAAAATCATAATTTGTAAAATTATTGATTCGAAAATAATATGATACAGTACTATTACGTCTGCGTCTCTGTGTTTCATTAAAGCTCTGCTCTGTGTGTGTGTGGAATGAGCCATTTTGTGTGCGTGCACGAGCGAGAGAGAGCGCACCGGTACCGGAGATCGTAGTTGTTAGCTTCTGGTGCTAGCGAGCTCTGCTAACGGATATAAAGAGTTTTTTCAAAAACAAAGTGGAGGAGAGTCCTCTCCTGTCAGACTGAGAGGCTCAGTGAACTAAAAGGACTCTGAGTGTTTAGATAGTTACTTTGTTATCTCAGTGGGTCTCAAACGTTTTGGTCACCATTAATGTAAACAATTATTTCCGAGGCACAAGTTTATATGATCATTATAGTTATAAAAAAATAAGAGAATACATGAAAAACAGGTATGAAATACTATATGACATTAAAAAATGAACAAATTTTAAAAGGGGAGTGATTTGTAAAATATACATAAAGAAATAGTAAATCTCTTTACAGTTCTGTGTTGAGAGATGCATCCATAGATCTCTTCATTTTGCTCTCAAGGTGCACTAGATTGATGCTTTTAACTTCAATATTTAAAAATAAATCTTCCCAGGGGAGCTTGCCCCCTGACCCCCCTATGTGAGGTCCACACACCACCTATAAAAATAGCACTTTACCCCTGCTTACACCTATATGCCTCGAGCCTTCATTGTAACTGTCATAATGTGTATTTGCGTGGGGGTTGTTGCAGTAAAAATGTCCATTGTAGCGCCTGGTACATTAATGGGAAACCCTAAATGTTTGAGCAACATCTATGAAACGTCAAGCTACCCCACACCACCCAAAAATAAATATCTGGCGCCGCCACTGAGCCTGACTATGTGTTGGGGGGGCCCCCGACTTATTTTTTTCTCCAAAGGGGGGGCCCTGACAGAAAATGTTTGGGAACCCCTGCTTTAAAATAAAGTCCATGTAGAAATCCAGCAACCTATCTTTTCTTGAAATACAATGGGTAACCCAGTGTCATTATGTCACTGATATTGTCCACATCATTCACATAGATCACATTTTTCAAACATGTTATTTCATTTCATTTTCTCTATTCATTATGTCATACCTGCAGGGGGAGCTGAAGATCAAGGCAAGCATTGCTAGTCCCACCAAAGTTGCTAGAACTGAGCGCATCCAATAGCTGAGTTGGCAGAAGTTACAGTACTGAATGATGGCTATGATGACAGCACAGCAGATGAACATGGTGAACTGGGGAAAATATGAAGAGCAGAGTCATTAGTCAAAAGGTCCCATAAGATTAGAAAATACAATTTGCTGACTGTAGCCTATATAGCCATATTGTACCATTAAAAGACATTTGCTAATAATAATTAAGTCAGATGGACATTTTTATGGCAGCCTACAGGGAGCTTCTTTATTAGTCAGAAGCAAAACTCAACTATAAGATTTGAGAGGAGGAGAATACATCTGATATGATGACAGCAATCAAATTAATGTAGTTTTGAAAAGGTAAACAAAGAGAAAATATAAAATTTGAAAATCCACCTGAATTGAGAGATGCATGTCACAGGTAACATGGGAAAAGACAGCCACAGTGGGCAGGGACACCAGGACGGCTCCTATAAAGTGACGCGCTATCCATCCTGAAACCACTCTCATCAGCATCCGAGTGCAGTGAAGCACACTGTCCAGGTAGAAAGCCATACTGAAGAAGAAAAACAATAACTAATTTTACCATAATAAAGCAGAAAACAGATGCCCGACAAAAATATGGCCACCTGATTTACATGGAAACTAATCCTAAAAAAAAAATCTGTGTCATCTGGCCCATCCCTCCACTTTCTCCAGTAAAACTTGCAAAAAAACTCCAAAGAAAGCAAACAATTTTTACCACTTTATAAATTACTCTTCGTTCTAAAACATATTTAAAATACCAAATTTCAGATGAGCTACTTGTGAGCATTAACAGTAACATACAAAAACAAAATAGTCAAAACTGTGCTGTCACATTAGTCACATCAGATTTTCACTACACAATTAACTAGGCAAAAATAATTTATGATGTCAGCACAATTTCTATATGACATTTCTTTGCAAAACACAATCCTTGTTTATCCTGCATTTTGACTATTTTTTTGGCAAATTAATTACAATCTGGATATATTCAGTACATCTATCCTTTGTATCAGGGGTCTAAGGAATAACAGTTTGCAGCCTCCTGTGAGTAATGGACAATTTCCTGTCACATTTGCTGCATCAAAGGTGGGGTAGGTAATTTTGGAGAAACCAGCTCGAGTGCGCTAGAATTGGAAAATACACAACCGGAAAAAATCTGCCACTTACTTACAGAGCCCCTCCTCCAACACACACGAACGCGCACATGACCAATGAGGGCACGAGATAAGTTTGTGCACAGATGGAAGGCTGACAGGCAGGCAGGCCATCCAGTTATTTTAGCCGGGCCGGCTAAAATGAGGGGTCGTGCTCTTTACAGTACTATGGCTTCCACAGATGAATTTCTTTTTATGGATTTTTTGTCAAAGCACTTAAGATAAGTATTGCTATCGGGATGTTAAGAGCATTCCATGGAATAATAACAAAAAGAGCATCTCGAGCCAGTTTCTCAAACTTACCTACCCCACCATTAAGGTGCAGTTCTTCATGGTTTTAGAGCAAACTCTCCAATGTGGAGTAAAGAGCCAATTGCTATTTTGGGATTATGCCTTTATATTAAGGGAAGAAAATACTAACACATTAAAACAGGAAAATATATTTGCCGGTTTATATTTAACTATTAATTTTAAATATGTGGTGGGGGATTGTGACATTGACCAGCAGAATGTATTTAGCAATGGGCCCACAGTTTAAAACCCACAGTCTATATTGAGTATCTCACCGTATAGCAAACAGAAGGGCCACAGTCTCCAGCAGGTTGGCTCCAGCTGTCAGAATGAGTGCTGGTGTGGACACGCTCTGCTGGGTGACAAGCGGTCGGAGGAAACAGGCCAGTGAGAGAGCCAGAAACACTAAACAGCAGAGCAGCATGTCCAGAAAAGAGCTGAATGTTGGACTGGCAAAAGTCTGCACCGGTGCCTGGGTTTCCACCTGAGGGTAGAAATAGAGGGAGGAAAAAACAGACAAAAAACAGAATTAAAAAATCTAAAACATATACGAAAATAGCAAGAAACACGTAATTAGTTAAGAGAATAGGGATTAATTGGCAAAATTAGAGTAATGCATTACTGAAAAGTAGCCTAACCAAGGATCTGCATCATAAATGCATGATCAATAATTCATGATGCCTTGGAATTTCATCATCCAACAATCAAAAATAATTTGATGACTTAAGTAAGCCTCTACTGAAATCTATTTCCATGTCAATGACCCAGATTCTAGAGACACTGTAGCAACAGTTGCAGCCATGACAGCAGGGATGCACTTCTGAGGTTACACCAGCAGAGGACATCACAAACTAATACAAAACGACTTTTAAGGTCCTGCAGTGATTTCTATTTGTCGCAGTCTTGAGCAGTCTGGCCGTAACACAGTGCTAATAGGCTTCCCAGACAACAGATAAACTCCAGAGGAACACAGGTAACGCACCCAGGTAGAGACAGCAAGTAAAATATGCTGACTCATTAAACATGCATGCATACAGGTACTGTTATGTCATGCACAAAAACAGCTCACACACCTCTTCCTGGTAGCTTATCCGGTAGGCAGACTCCAGGCTGCTCTCAAGGAAGGTGAGGCTGAGCTTGTTTATTGGGGGTCTATAGAAATAGTCCTTCATAAGGCTGTCAAAGAAAAAAGGTAAGTCGAAATTAAAATTGCCCAAAGCGAAAATGAACATCAATAGCTGAGATTGACATTCTGATCAACTCTACATCATGTTTAATGTTTTTAATGTATTCATCATTGGATCATTCTTACCTGTCCTCTTTAATAACATCCACAAAGTGAGCATCGCTCCTCTCCCTGAAGTTCTTTGAGCGTAGGGGGATGAGCGCTGAGTGGTCCATGCCCATGGTTCCTCCACTCCACGTCTTCTTCTCCTTCTCCTGCAGCATCTCACACAGCGACGTCTGGCTGTTGGTCAAGGCCTCCAGCTGAGGACTGAGCAGGCCGTTCAGAACTTTGGGGCTGCGTCCTGCAGAAACCGCTGGGGAGCACTTCAGATTTGTAATGTCCTAAAATGAGAAGAGGGGGGGAGGCAACATCTGACTTTACAAAATAGCAGGAGCTGTGATAATGGATCTTTTATTTGGAAAAAGAGCAGCAATTAAACAAAGTAGTCTAAATATAAATTATAAAGCTAAAGAGTGTGTTGTAGTGACACCAATTAAAATGTGTCTTTGGCACACTTTATCCGGTACTCATTAAGTCCTATTTCTTTTTAAAGATTTTCTATTAATCTTTTTTGCTGCTGGGCATGAAAAAATGTAACCAGGCTGGTAATGTACTACATATGATGAAATCTAACAGATTGGACATAAAAAAAAAAGCATACATATAAAATCTATCCAAGGCTAACCTTGGTGTTGATCTTGTAGTCGTCATGGCAGCCATTGTGCACTGCTCCTTCCTTGAGAACCGGATCTTCCACTGGTATCAGAACCACACTGCATGATATACAAGGGGACTGCAGGGGTGTAGAGGTTGGAGGGGGGCATTATGGAGGGAGATGCAGCATATGGAGGCAAGAAGGAAGAAAGATTAATACATTGAACAATTAATATTAAGGGAAGCATGTGGTGGTTATAACAAAGGGTAAACAGATGGCAAAGGTTGCAAGAGAAACAGTAAAGGAGAGGGAGTGTAAACAAGAGGCAAAGAAGGCAAACACACTACTAGAACAAGGTTTTTATCTTTATCCCATCATCCTCTTCAAACTGAATGGAAAGTGTGTGTGTGTGTGTGTGTGTAAGAGTACAGTATGTGTTACGATGTGTGAAGCAGGCAGGACCCAAATGCAGATTTAAACTGGAAACACCTTTATTTCAAGGATATAATACTAATTTCGACAGAACACTCACCGGAGAACTTAATTCACCAACAAAAGACGAACCAACACTGAACACAGGAAGAGACTAAATACAGGGAGGGGTAATCACAAGACGAGAAACAGCCAGGCAGGGGAGGAGAAACACAAGGGCCACAGGTGAACACAATCAGACAATTAGACACACCAGGGAAACTAACGACATGGAGGAAAAACACAGAGAGAGGGACCAGACAATACACAAGGGAGAACCGAACAGCGAATAAACCCAAACATTAAAAACTAGAAACCGTGACAGTATGAGCTTTGGTGAAAGTTCTGCTGTGCTATGAATGAACCGATGACACTTGACAGTGCCAAGCCAAAACACACACACACACACACACACACACACACACACACACACACACACACACACACACACACACAAAGAAAGCACACGTGTACCTACATTGCAAACATTAAAAGAGCAGATATTTTATCACCACACACCTGGCTCATTTTACTTTACAAATGGTGAAATGTCAGCAGAACTTTCTTAAGATCTGTGCCATTGAGCCCCTTATCAGCGTAACCATTGCGGTATTTGTGCAAGACCAGCACTTAGATGATGAAAACCTTAAGTGCAATGAGTCATTCGTTGAAGAAAAAGAAGGGAGAAGGACATCCTACCTCCCATGGCTTCGAGCGTACTACCATACCATGGACCCCTGCTGATTCTCCTGCTCTGACCCCATCCATTCACTCGTCCTATCACATCTGCATCTACATCCCGCCTATGCAGGGGTACCTTTGGTTGTTTGAGAAGTGGGGGGCACACAAAACAAGGGGGTCCTAGCCGCAATGAAAAAAGTCTCAATTTAATCCATTTCTGACCTTTCTAACAAATATTATTAGGGACTATAGTGTTAAACAAATCCAAGACAACAGGATGTAGGTGAAGAATGAGTGTGCACACTCATCTAATTATGCCATACCTATCAAAAAAACCATAGAAATGCTCACAACCAATAGCAAATATGTTGATAGAACTCCTCTCTTCCTATCTTTTATCATTACCTACGCTGCATTCTCTTGCTTTTTATTATGCCATATTTGCACACACTCCTCCCTTTCAACCCCACATTGGAAGGATTTCTTAACTTATTTTATATACAATTAAATTACATAGGATGGAAATATTTGTTTACATAGAGACGAGACCACTGAGATAACTTAGAACTAAAGTTTAGCAAAGTCTCATCACAATCAGACTCCTTTACCTCCCTGAGCTGACGTACTCCAGTCCGACAGGAGAGACTCTCCTCTCCTTATGGTTGAAACAGCTCTCTAATCTCTGTAGCTCTGAGCTACCATCAGAGCTAACAACAACCCCGAACCTCCAAGTCTCTCTCTCTGCTCTCTTTTCTCTCTCCTCTGCTCTATCTTCTCTCTCTCTTCTCTCTCAGTCCTCAAAGTTTCTGACAGGAAAGAGGCTCTCCATCTCCTTAATTGTTGAAACAGCGACTAATCATGTTACTCCGAGCTAGCACCAAATGCTAACAACAACCCCCGTAAAGCTCTGTGTGTATCTCTCTCTCTCTCGTCGCTGTCTCTCTCTCTTCTATCTCTCCTCACAAGATCGCTACGTGCCGCACACACCAGACGCTCCTACCGTGACGAGACCGCTTGCGGGTATAAAAAACAAAATAATAAACACATTTAAAAAGTGGGGGGACACCAAATGGGAATTTGAAAAGTGGGCGGGGGACATGCCCCCCTGTCCCCAGTTTAAATTACCCCATCTCCCCATAAACCTGGCCTGCCAAAGGCTAAAACGATCCATGCTGTAAATACCAGCAGTGTACAGAAAATTGAGGGTAATTTTGGAAGGCACATCAGGGTTTTGAGGTTAATATAAGGAATATTGTGCTAC